CCACGAAGGCCGTTAAACAGCCTGCCCCTGTGGAGACGTTCTCAGATTAAGCCCCTTCCTCTTTTAGAAGATCCCCGCTAGAATAAACCCCTCACGGGAAACCCCTCCGGGTGCTGGTGTCACCCGGGCCAGCGCCGAGGGACCCTGGGGACAAGCTCCGTGCGTTCAGATCGATGCTCTGCTGCTGCGCGGCCCTCCCTCGCCGCCCGTCCTCTAACAGCCTGCCCCTGTGGAGACGTTCTCAGATTAAGCCCCTTCCTCTTTTAGAAGATCCCCGCTAGAATAAACCCCTCACGGGAAACCCCTCCGGGTGCTGGTGTCACCCGGGCCAGCGCCGAGGGACCCTGGGGACAAGCTCCGTGCGTTCAGATCGATGCTCTGCTGCTGCGCGGCCCTCCCTCGCCGCCCGTCCTCTTCTGGCACGGAGACGTTCGTAACTCTGCGCTCACCAAAAACGTCTCCAGTGATGTATGCTAATACGGCCGGCCTGCCTCGCTCGCTGCATCTTTCTGAAACTCGTTTTAAGCCCAGACGGTCATAACTGGGAGAATTTTGTATTTTGTGCCAGTTTAGCACCTAGCTGGAGTGGTTACGGGGGTGAGAGAAAGCTAAACTAGCTTGCTCTAAGAAGTCTTCTTTCTAAGACAAAATGAAATAAAGTGACATTACGAAACAAAGGGCACCTCCGACAAAAGTAACAGTAGAGTCTGCCTCGTGTACGTTCAATTTATGAAGAAGGAATTAAAATGAGTCGACAATTTTTTGTTAATGAGGCTTCAGTCAAGTGGCAATAAAAAGGGGCTGTTTGATGCTTGCTGTAGTGATGCAAGGTTTTAGGAAGAAAGATTTTGGATTGGACATGTCCCTCCCTCCTCTCTCCCCGTTGCTATAGATATAGACTGTTCCTCCCAGTATGCTGGGGAGAAAGCTCAATATAAAAATATTGAAAGTAATGACTGTAATTTTTTCACTTAAGAATGCGATGGGCTCTATGTTATGCCTGCAAAGTAGTCACATTTTGACTCTTGCTCCCTAAACATGAATTGCAAATCAATCTGGGTCACAAAATATTTTTCAATATGTTGTAGCTACAGAACAATGTTTGCGTGTTTGTCACTTCCCTGTAGCCTCAGCAAGGATGCCTGACTGATTGCCTCGGCGGTCCTTAGATTGAAGGGTTCGGGGGGAGAGCGGGCTTGATTTAAACGGTGATTCCAGTGGTTCCTAATTGAGAAATATTTCAGTAGCAGTAAAACAAGTTGAGACTTTCCCCTTCAGGCTGGGATAGGGGAATAACTGATATCTCAGAGATCTATTGAAACAGGGGAAAGGATTTATTATGTTAGACAAGATCCAGGAAAATGTTTGCATAGCTGGAAGTGAAACAGCTTTAACTGTCTTTTCTCTTAGAATTTCATTATTCCTTTTATTGACCAGAGTTTCAAATCTCATTAATCTTGAGTTAAAACTGTCCTTTTTTAAAATAGATTCTATACTGTTTTAGACTACAGTTTTTAGACATAAACAGGAGAAGCAGCTATAACTCTACAAGGTATTTGAGTTCTGGGATTATTTGTGGTTGAAGGTGGAAGATATTCATTTGGTTTCTTCTATGTCTTTTCTTGTGCACAGTCCCATTTTCTTTAATTGCAAATTGAATACAGATGCATTACAAAACCTCTATAATACATGCTGGAAACTGCCTTAAAAGCCACGTAATTATAGAAACAAATTTTTATTAGATTTGTTTTTATTAAGTGTTTCAGTAAGTCTTCCTAAAGGCTCGTTCAGAAGTGGAAGTTCATGACCTTTACCGATTTAACAGGATGTTTTCATCTGATTTCATTCTTTTTCTCTTTCTTTTTGTCAACTTTTGTCCATGCTTTCCTATAGTAATCACCTCCAAACGGTGACCTATTTATTGTTCTGCAACATGCTTACACACTCATTTAAGAAATTGGAAGTTTTCAAGTTACAGTTAAATAAAATAATAGATCTCTGAACTTGTACTTCTTCTGCCTATATAATTCATGAGGCTTTGTAGATTGCTCCTGTGGGAAGGTGTTTTTGTGAGATGCTATTATCAACAAAAGCACCTATTGTCTTCTACTTCTTCCATTTCTGGACGTTTATAGGAGCATTTTAAATACAAATAAAGGAGGAGACATACTGCATTTGATCTTTTACTCTGTATCTTACCCAGGTTTAGCCCAAGAGAGATAGTCTTATTTTTTCCAGAAGGTAGTTTTTCAGAGAAGAAAACAGCTGAGGTACATTGTATCCAAATATGGTGGTGTTCATAAGTCTCTAATTAGTGGGGCTGGGAGTTTAATATCCTTAATTAATCTTTACTTGTTTATAAGACACAGTCAATTTGAGATTATGGAACATTCATTCTTTTTAAAGTGTTTTACAAAGCAATCTGCAAGCAATATATCCTGATTACGTGTGCTAGATTCCTCAGAAGAGTTGGGTATGGTTGTATGGATCCTTTTCAGCTAGTCATTTTCTCATTAGCAAACGATTGTGTTGAGGAAGCAGTTACGCTTAAATGTCTTCAGATAAACTCTAAGCAGTCGCTTGCAGATCCCCCAAGTACTTTCATACAGATCTATGACATGTTAAGTAGATGTATCTATTCAAAAAGTCATGGTGATATTTGATTTTCATATTAGAAAAGCTAAGTAAAGTAGAAGACTGGGCAACAAATGAAATTGTGAACATAGCTTATCACTTTTTTTTTATCAGCCCTAAGGTGCCAGTGCTTTACAGCAGAAATAGTTTTGATATCTATTGGTAACAGAGTAAATGTATGCTTGTTACTGTGACTTCGCGTTGCCATCTAATATGTAAAATGGTGCTTCTAGCCTTCAGTGAACAGGAGTATAGTTTTGCAAAATATGTTAACAGTTAATAGAGCTCGTAATCCCATTATTTGGTCTGCATTTTAGTCTTAATTTACCACATTAATGTGTTGTGGAAGATTCTGGAAACAGTTGTTCCATGCACCATATAAGAAAAAGTTGTAAACAAATCATCACATACGAAATTTCTGTAAAAGTCAAATATCTGTAATTTCAGGTTTTTACTAGCAAAAAGACAAGTCTGTCACATTTCAACTTATGAGCATGAAAGAATCTTTTAAAACAGCAACTCTGAGTTCCTGACACACATAGTAAGCGAAGACAATATGTTACATTTCATTCTGATTGTATGCTAATTTTAAACGTGCTTGATGGAAACTTAATTTAAAAAGCCTTTAAATAATGTTGCATAGTATTTGTAGGACTTTCGCAAAGTATGGTGTGTAAGTTTATCAGCTGAAAAAAATAATTTAGGCATGAGTTCGGAACTTCATGTGATTAAAGTTGAGCATGTAAGCAATTACAAAGGCAGGGACTTCATTCACCGTTAGTTAAAAGAATTTCTCCAGTATTGATTCTTAAATTACAAGAGGATGAAATAAACAGTAGGACAGATAAAAGGTTACAAAATCTTTAACTTTTCAGTCAGTGGTTTAAATACAATGCACAGGAAATAGTGAATGAAAGCTTTGTCTAGGGCTGCTCAGTGGGGAATAGTAAAAAAATAGATCTTGGTTTAGTTCTTGTTGGATACATGTTACCCTAACAAAATGAACATAACTGTCATTCTGTTCTCCGCCATCCTGGAGAGGCATGAAAACTGAAATTTTACTTCTTGCAGGAATCTCTGAACTTAGCTGAAGCTCACTGAAGTCAATGTTAGTCTTCCCATTGACTTTGGTAGCATTTGGATCAAAAGTCAGGTGAGGCTTGTAGCAGATTGGATGAGGAAAGTAGGGGAATTAACACTGTTACCATCTGTTCAGTAGATAAAATTGCTTGAGTTTCCAGCTGCATTAATTTGCAACATTTCATAGGCACTGTATTATTTTGATATCATACTAATTTGA